GCTTAAAGCCCGTGTGAAATTAAAGAACAAGTTAGGGATAGACATCACCAAGATTAATCCGAGTTTGAATCCCCTAACTCCTTCTTACGGAGGGTTTGGTGAGTGAGACCGTTCAGTCAGGGAATGCCCCATATATATAAATATTTACTTCATTTCATTTAGTACACACTTTGTATATATGTATATATATATATATATATATATTCCAACCCTGCTTAACTATAATATATATATAATATGTGTGTGCGTATAAAACATTTAAACACATAATGCATTATACTGATTAAGTAACGAAAACTTTTTTTAAAGTTAACAAATTTAAAAGAATTAATTGTTTCTCTGATATTTAAATTTAATTTAGTGTGATAAGTAATTCGTTATATGTTGAAATGCCCGCGGCCACTCTATCTCTCTCTTTAATTATCTTACATCTAGATAATAAATTCCTCAATCACGAAACACCCCCCATGAAAAAACTGTACCTACGTGCTTGACTAGAATGCACCATGAAACTCTCAATGGTCGCTACATGAATGGAGAAATCTTTGCCCTCTTTGCAGACTATAAGGCTGCAGTTTAAGAAGGGCAAATAGTGTGTTTTTTACTCCCAGTATGTGTGCTGAATCCATTTATCGTTCAAGTTTGTTCCAATGCTTTGGGAGTATATTTTTTCTTTTGACAAAATGTTTTAGTATTTTTAACTTCATAAAATTCTCCCAAAATTCTATCTTTTAGCACTTTTTCTAAAAGCTTTTGTACACCCATCAAATGAATTATTTTCATTTACTTAATGGAAATGTGTTAAACAGTACTTGTCCAAGGTTTTTTGGATCATTCTATATTTACCATAAGCAACACATTTAAAAAGAATTTATTCAATAAAAAAAATATATTCTACGTACTAAATATATTTTCTCCTCATCTCAATTTTTTAAAAATACCATAAATTAATGTACCAAAACATTAAAAATTTAAAAAATAAGCAGAATCTTGCTAAGTTGTTAAAATAAATTTAGTCTAATTATTTTTTTAACATTCTATATTAAAAAAAATACCTTGAATAAAATACTTTATAATATTGACACTTATCTTGTACCCATCCTTGCACTTTTTGCACATCCCTGCACCTGACCTGACCTGACCTGGACAAGATTTAAAATTTACACCTTTACAAATTTTAAGATTTTTACCTAGAAAAATTAGGGAGATTTGAAACCTGATTTGAGTGGCCACCCTGATTATGAACCTTAATATTACTTTGATTTTATGAGTTATTGCATATCCATATAAATATATGCTTAGGATTGTGAGAATATAAATTTGTAATTTACCACTTCTGTGAGTCACTTAAATTTTCTTAAATCAGTAAAAAAATTCTCTATTTTACGGGTTTTAAAAAAATTTTGCTTATTTTCAATTAAAATTTTTCTTACTATACTTAGTCTTATTATTTTTTTTACATTTATTGTTTGCAGTTCAAAATAAATGTTACAATTTGTTTTTGTGGTAACCTAAAACTTGAACTACTTTACCCATTTTCTCAGAAGCTCTGCTCTTTTCTGTGCGCTTGCACCGAATAGCGTGAAAGAAAATTTTTTTAGTGGGTGGGAGTGGAAGCACACAGTTTTTTTTAAAGGATAAATTTGTTTTATTATATTTTTCTTTATGTATGTGTATATATCTGCGCTTTATAGAACAACTCCCATTAGTGTGACCCTTCCATTATAATGACCACTTCATGAAGTTCCATTTGCTGTAGACCCAATATTATTTTGATGCACATTAGTCTGTCCTAATTCAGGGCTAGACGTAAGTCACTTTTCTCACTTAATGTCACTATCTTAATAAATTGGAATGAATCTTAAATAAATCATAAACT